GATTTAGGGTTTAGGGTTTAGGATTTAGGGTTTAGGGTTTAGGGTTTAGGGTTTAGAGTTTAGGGTTTAGGATATAGTATATTGGAGCTATACATTGGGATAATGGAAAAGAAAATGGAAACTACTGTAGTTTTTTTCCTGCACAATGCTGCCTTGACCACTCGCGCGCATATTGGGGTAGTAGTATATAGTATATTAGGGATATATTGGGATAATGGAAAAGAAAATGGAAACTACTATAGTATGTCGGGGATATATATTGGGATAATGGAAAAGAAAATGGAAACTACTGTAGTATATTGGGGTAGTAGCTATATATTGGGACAATGGAAAAGAAAATGGAAACTACCATAGTATATTGGGGCCATATATTGGGATAATGGAAAAGAAAATGGAAACTACTATAGTATATCGGGGTAGTAAGGGGCCGTTTCCGAATACCAGGTACCCGAAATGCCTTGCAGCAAGGCTAAGGCTACAGAGAATAAGGTAGGTTTAGGGTTTAGGGATTTGGTTTTGATGGGGATCGAGAGGTCCTGTTTGACTAGCGTTGCGCACCTTCTACTGCATTCCCCCATAGGAAGAGGTTCTACTCTAGGAATATAATGAGAGCTGATCAATAGGGCCCCTGTCATCCAACCACAAATTCAAGACAATTTAGCTGCCACTAAACCCTCAAGGCTTTCGTGGCGCCATCCCAATTGTAGATTCGTAGATTGGAATTTGTTTCCGTAGCCGGAGCGTTAGGAATGCATTAGCTCTACTGCTCAACGTTGCAGGCCTAAACCTTTGCAACTGTAACACGCGCCAGGTCCTGACATTCTGGAACACTGCATTTTTCCGGGTGCGGTCAAGCGGTTGTCTTGTGATGCAATGTGACACATCCTCCAAATACGGCTTTTTCGGGCATTTGTGGATAAGTTAAGCTGACAAGCTGCAGAAGTGTTGCCCACTCGTCTACGATCGGACGTAATGCGACAAGCAAACGGCCTCCCTACTAGACAAAAAATCAAGCATGAAAAGGTCCAAGTCACGCTCGAACTCCTGCTTGGACTCATGGTTATAGAAGTGCAATGTGCCGCCTTTGCTAAGGGCGGCCACCAGTGGCTGGAGGTTTTCCTCAGAATCGCAAGAGTTCGACTTGAAATGAAAAATGGACCGCGGCTAATGGCAGGTGGGCTTAGGGCTTCGTGTCTTTTAGTTTATGGGAGTTGCACGAGACAATCCTCATGAAAGCCTTACATGAATTCACATGACACCGAAAACAGCTCCTTGTAATCCCAACAGGTGCCTACATATCTCCACACCAACCACATTGACCAAGAGTACTCTCCTCTAGAAAGCCCGGATCCAATGCTAGTACAGCAGATACACTGTGGGGCATTGGGGGAGCATAGTTAAGACGTTGCATGCTGTACCCAACACGTGCCTAAGGATGGCTATGTTGCGGCTATGGCGTTTTCAATGCTCTCGGGCTTGAACCTCTGGCGGCTGCCGCCATGGTCGGTCCAAAAGTGCAAGAAGCTTATAATGGGTTATATTGGGGGTAATATAGGGATAATGGAAAATAAAATGGAAACTACTATAATGGGTTATATGGGGTAATATTATATTGGGATAACTTGCTGCACAGGTTTACACAGTTCATATTGTGAATCCCTAGCCGGCAACTCCCGCCGAACTGAAATGATGACCACTGCAGTTGCTATTCCCGCTACTGGAACTAATGTAGACCCATGATTAATAAACCCCCTCCTTTTAAGGGCCTAAACATTAGGATCCCTACTAAAATCCCCTATTATTAATCAGGGGTCTACATTATACTCACTATCAACTTTGCCTGAGCTTAGCTGAGCCTTCAGGCCCGGCCCCAACTGCTAACGCCAAACCGGGCAAACCGCGCGAACCTTGAAGCCCAACACTCAGAACTCCAAGCTTTTTAGTAGGGATCCTAATATTTAGGCCCTTAAAAGGAGGGGGTTTATTAATCATGGGTCTACATTAGTTGTCTTGGCTTTATAGGGAAACGCTTCGAAGCGTTTCCCTATAAAGCCAAGACATGGTCACGTACAGACAATTAACGATGTAGACATATAGGACTCTTTGGGAGGGTTTCTGACGGGCTGCACATGGAGCACAGCAGCCACATGAAAGCTTCTCTAAGCTAATCCTCGAACCCCAGCACCTCAAACCCGCAGAATGCGAGGCCCTTGGCATTCCCACGCCTATGACAAGCACTCTATGCAAGTCATGTGATCGTCATAGCACTATTTTCGGGAGTGGGGGAATTAAAGCTCCCTTTTCGTACTATGACTCTGACTATGATTGCTAATATTGTAGAAAAAACATCATTCAAGCCAAACTTCGATTGGTTGGAACTTCAGAAACGCGCAGATGCGGTCGAACTGTCCCAGGCCCTCCACGTCCAAAGAATTGCGACAGAGGCTGGACCTTCAGCTAAAGAAGATTAAGAATCTAGGGAAGCAAATTACTGTAGGCACTGAAGTTCCTTACCATAAGAGCCCCAACCACATTGATTTAAGCACATCGGCTTCAATGCTTCGTGTTCCCCAGAACCAGCTTGGCAGGCTTCTCCCTCCTTTTGCGTTGATGCCAGGGGACCCGCTAAGCACGAAACCTAGAGAAGCTGTGAAGACTTGTTTGACGAGAAAAGTGTTGATAATCAGGATTTCCCGGTGGAGATCAGGCTTCCTGCCTTCTGGTTTTGGGAAACAAATATGTGTGCTCACCTGTGCTGTTTGATTTAGGATTTAGGGTTTAGGGTAATTACACTGCTGGAGATCTTTGTCATGTTGCATCAGGTTGTCCAAGAATGTCTGGAGACCTACCTCAACTACACTACCGGAGGAGCTTACACGTACGGCGCCCGGTTCATTGCAATGTGTAGGAAAGTGTCCATTAGTGTTACTGTTGAAATTTTTGTTACATGTGCTATTGAACTACTCACACTCTCTCTCTCTCTCTCTCACAACTATTACACTGTCTATTGCTATTACGGTTGCCTGTCGTGCTGCCAAGGGGCACTTTGCCTTTCAGCTTGTTGATCCGGATATTGGCTACCGCAAACTCGTTCTTGACCTGGACTCAAGTGGGTTTACGCGCAGGGACTTATTATGTTGTGGTCAGATCGCGAGCACTAAGATTTCCCTATAAAGGCAACAAAGGCAGACGTCCCGTAACAAACGGCAACCCAGTCGAGGATTGCCTCAACAACTCCTGGAAAAAACGGATGCCGGCCCGCAAAAAGTACGCCCTAGCAACCTTTGCTCCGACATGCAGGGTGGCTACCCAGTACCCGAGGGGTTGAAAAGGTTTATGGGCTTGTTTAGGGTTTAGGGTTTAGGGGTTTAGGGTTTAGGGCCTGAAAATAGAGCAATATCATATTCCTGCGCAAAGCTTATAGAAAATCTAGCGTTCGCTGCCGCATCTGTTCTTTTTACCGCTGAACCCCTTGAAACCCCTTAGAAACCCAACTTCTCATGTCATGTCACTGTCCATTTCCTTTTCCATTCCACATTATTTCGATTTGCCTTCCCAATTTCCCATATCACGCACCCCTGTGAAGACTTTTTGGGGGGTTCCCCCTACAGCTTAAACCATCTGGCCTCATCCGGCTCCAAAGCTACCACATCGGAGCACGCAGTGCGCGCTCCAACCAGGCAGGCAGTGAGACCAATCCCGGAACCCAGAACCTCGGTCAAAGTGAGCTTCATTCAAAGGTAGGATCTGTAGGGTACCCTAAACCCTAAACCCTACCTTCATCCTGGGGTCCTCATAGAATTTTACATACCGCATACCCTATGAAAGCACTCGAAACACAATTCAGGGCCGATAGTTAAGTTTCTTTCGACTCATGCTTTACCCAGAACCCTGGGTGTAGTTTTTGGGTTAGTATAGTCTAGTCCTTTGCCCAAAGCCACAACTTGCCCAATGAGGAACTGCCTACGTAGCTTTGCAAGTCCCATCTGTGCGTTGAGACAACACAAGCCGCAGCCTCCAACCCAGGGCATCGTGCAAAGGAATAAAGCTTGGCGTTACGCAATGCTAAGCTGATGTTGGGATCTTTGAGGAACATCACGGATTGTCACTATACTTCTCCAAGGTATTTGGACGCCCCTGAGCTTGCAATGAATAAAAATACTTGAAAGAGTGCTTGCTATAGCTCCTTATTCAAGGATTCTTTAAATATACCCCAAATATTATCATATACTAGAATATACCAAATATACTATAACTGACTATAATATACTATAAATTATCAAGGCCCACCAAAGAGGTATTACATCAGCAGGCAGGAGTCTGGGTACCCAAGGGCTCCCCGAAGCGCAGGTGCTCAAACGCTTAGCATTGATGTTATGGAAGTTTGCCCCTAGAACCCTTTTTTTGGGTCCTTGGACCCTTAGGGGCATAACATGATACTTAGGGCGGCTTGTACTATGTGATTCTACCTTGCCAGTACCAGCATCCCTGCAATCTTTTTTTGGGGAAGCCATCAAGAATCGTCCAGTTATTCTAGATACAACGCCCTGCAGTGCTGGTGAGGGGTAGGCTGAACAGTTGCTGAGGTGCAAAGTCCCCACGCCAGCAAGACCCCTAAACGCCAACTCCTAGACCCAATCCCAACAACCCAACATATGATCCACAGTCTAAACCCCTAGTATCCCCCTTAATAACCCCTATACTACTCCCCTGTATAATCCCCTTTAA